GAATCCCCAAAAAGTCTATGTTTTGTTCATAGTAAAATTCAATGACGATTAAACAATACCCGCGTTGTTGTCCACCAATCGGTAAACATCACTATAGATCGGCGGGCCTGGGGACTATATGGGGACTGTACCAAAATATTTACGTATGTTGACATTTTTCTGTAAGATGGTTCTCATCCCCCACAGTAGCCTAAATACAGCAAATAATGCCCAAATCAGTTGAAAAACGTGGCCAAGACCACGGTCACAGCTGAAATCAGGGATACATTTATATAACGGTTATACCAAAACGGGTTACAAATCAATAGAAACCACATTTTCTTTTTCTGACCACCAATTAGATGTGAAGTGGACTTGGGATACGCCAAGTGGGGACTTTACTTAAATAAATTCCTATGTGGAACCATCTGTATGATGGTTCCCTACACCAGAGTAGCATAAATACAATTTTTAGCCAAACCAATTAATGAATGTGGTCAAGACCAAAATGGGCCCTGCTCTGAAAATTTCAAACTTTATGCGAAGAGGTTCTCTACCTTCTTAGAAACAAAGATTCCAAATAATGGCCAAATATTAAAAAAGTGACCAAGACACCAAAAATAGCTTAAAACATACGATGTTATATAAATATGAAATGGGTTGTACCCTTATCCGTAGTTATGATCGATATCATGACCTGCAAAAGCGATTAAGGTATCTTGAATGTTTGGGAAGATTTTCTGAAAGGATAGAAACCTTTTTCTTACTAAGAGTCCCATTCGCTCTACTATTTTCCACCCTTTATATTTGGTATTTTTCTGAATGTACATTGGACGGATTATTGTGACAGGAAAGAAGTAGTTCCACGCTTTGAAATGAGGCCCCATTAGGATTTTTCGGTAATTTTTGTTTGTTCAATGTGTTCGCATCTTCCAGCTGAACCACGATGTCGGCCCTGGAGTTGAAAGGTAGATGTCAGTTAACATCGTATTTCCCACTTATTTCTTTTTTGGTGAAAATTCGTATATAGTGAAAAATTATTCTTTATTTTGTTCACAAAAAATTTACTGAATTCAATTAGATAATACAAATTGAAAAAATTGACAAAAGAAGAAACACATTAAAAAAATCTCAACTTGCTTGCTGATTTTTTACAGCAAATGTTTAAAGATCCTTAATAGTTTGTCAATAGAATGTACTTCTATTTTAAAATTCGATTCCATTAAATTATTTCGACATCATCTATTCCGTTTCGCCACCACATAATTCGGTACTACACTTCCATGTAACTCGCCATCAACTTCATTTCTCAAGAAATCAAGTCAATTAAATAAATTGGTATTAATATTTGAATTCAAAAATAAAATAAAAAACACTACAAATGTACATTAGAAAAAATGTAAGTCAAAATGGGAAAAATCATGCCAAATAAACATTACTATTGTACATTTCAAAAGTCAAAATGAAAATGTTAATATATCACATTTTACGCGATTTTTTTTTTGGATATTATCCTTTTCGGAGAGGAGAAAATTCCGAATTTGTATGAATCGTTAGAATCAGTCTAGCGGATCTTAAGTTAAAGCGTAGTAACTAACTCAACTTTCTTTTATATATAAGAAGATAGATATAGATTAAAAAGTACTGACAACGACAGTTCCTCAGCCCCAAATAATACTTAGAGGGGGATGGAAAGTCAACAGTATCTCGTGCAATAATTTTCAAACCGATATCTCCTCTATATTGGCAAATATAAAGATTTTAGATAAATCAAAATTGTGGGCGCAAAAGTGGGCGGGTCTATATTTTTTTCTTTAAAAACCTAACTCGGGGTATGACGAAAGTTTTTACAAAAAATTATGCAAATCGGTCCAGCCGTTTTCAACTGATTCCGTTACAACAAACAACAATTGATTTTTATATATATAGATATATATAAGAACGTTGTGTTAGTTACTACGCTTATAACTCAAGAACCGCTGATTTGATTTTACGATTCTGATAAACTCGGAATTGTCTTTTGGCAGAAAATGTTAAATCTAAAAAAACAAGTAAAAAGAAGCAAGTTCAGGAATACCCTCCACCATTTGGAACAAATTTAACAATATTTAAAAAACTTTTAAATTCTTAAAAATGCCGAATATAACTGTTATATTAGAGTCTATACGACGATATGAACCTGCGTATGTAACATTTGTCATAAGCCATTACAATATTCGAATGCGAAACTTAAAAAATCGGTTATAATGTCGATAAAATCAAAATACCGAAAATCGGGAGGTACCGTTATATGGGGCTATACCAAAACGTGGACCTACATAGCCCATGTTCAATACCTGCAGACATAACATACATTTGAGCAAAGTTTTATCAATCTACTTCAATTCGTTCGGAAGCTAGAGTGATTGCCACAGATGGACAGACGCTAATCGACATAGATTTTATGCTGATCAAGAATATATATACTTTGTGGGGTCTAAAATGTATATTTCGAGGTGTTACTAACGGATTGACAAACTTAGTATACCCTCCACACTATGGTGGAGGGTATAAAAATAATCAAGTTAAACTGAAATTTGAACATTTTCATTTTGAGTTTTGAAATGTACAATCGTAATGTTTTATATTGCATGATTTTTTTCATTTTGATTTGCTATTTTCGAATGTTCATTGGTAGTGTTTTTTTTAATTAAATTTGAAATTTTTTGGGTAGTATAAAGCAACAAAGGACAAAACTGTTCTGTACACTGTACAGATTTTATGTATTTATTGGGTAAGTTGGAATATACGTGCAATATCATTTCAGAAAAGGGTTAGAAATGAACAAAAATTTCAATATTTTTTCGTGTACGAACGGTTTTTTAATTTGATTAACTTTATTGAATTCAGTCGAATTTTTGAGAACGGAAATTTCAGGCGGACGACTTTGAAGTGTACTACTGAATTATGTGGTGGCGAAACTGAATAGATGAATCGAAATAAGTTAACGCGGTCACACCAAAGTTTAAGGATAATTACTATTTTAAAATCGCTAAAATATCACGAAAAAGATCGAAATTCTCATTGCAGAAATGTAAAAAAAGAGAGAAAAACATTTTCATTGGAATTACATTTTAAAAATTTTTCAATGGAATTACATTTTAAAATGAGAGCCCATTTTATTGGCAAATTTCGTAAGGACCTTTAAACATCCGCGAACAAGTTCAAGAATTTATTTTTATCAAAAAAAAAACTCTATAGTGTGTAAAGAACCTCAATAAAAAGTGTATAAACATATTTTTATGACACATATTATTTTAAACTTTTCGTAATTATTTATATCGCATGAAATTTTTGAATTTGCTATATTACACTTCACATTTTTATAATATCTTCTTTTTTATTCTAAATATATATGATAAATATGATATTGGTGCATATACGATGTTAAATGACGATTGACATCTAGCTTTTCAAGCCCAGAGACCTTCAGCTGAAAGATGCCAACACCTTCAAACAAACAAAGGTGGCTGACACAGCTGAATGAGTCTCATATCAAAACGTCCTACTATTTTGATATGACAATTGTCAAAATGCTAAATTCATTGGGATGCAATCCGTGAAAACCGAATATAATGAGGCATTGCAATATGCAGACTATTCAAAATGCTAGAGCGAATTAAAATTTAGTAAGAAAGGATTAATATCCCCGAAAATTCTTTTGAAACCTTAAAAATCTTAAATTGCAGATAACGTTCTAAGAAGAAATTTGCGCAATAGCGAGATAATACTGTACAACTAAAGGCACTTACATAAATTCATTTTCACAAATTATTTGGGAAAAGCATTCCATGAAATATAATTTATGAATACCGAAAAATATGAAAAAGAATAAAATTATTGTCTTATCAATTGTTCAAATATACGGACGGTCTTTTTTAAAAAAAAGGGGATATTTTCAAAAGGATATTTTCAAAGGTATTGAACCTTACAAAAGCAGCGGTGGGATAACAAAATCAATAGCCTGAGACTATTCAAAGATCTTTAAGTCAATCGAAAAACTTATGAGGAGAATGAGAAGAATGCAATCTAGAACTCAAATCCGAGCAGAAACCAAATTGGATTTCATACTCCTGAAATCCAGGTACAATTGAAGAAAATTCCGTAGGGGATGGAAATACTGCAGGAGAAGAAATGGGTGCAAGGATTCAAGCTCTGGAAAGTTTGATGACAATCATTGAGTGAAAGGCAACAAAACTAGCGGTATAAATTCCAGTCCACATTGTATCCCAGAATTTGAGCCAGAAACGATGAATTTGTCAGTTTCAAAATGGATTCGGAAGATCGAACAAATTAGCGAACTTATGGTTGGAATAACAACTACAAAATTTACGTTATGCAAATCCGATTAAAAGTTTTAGCGAAGCTTGGTTCGAGAACTTAAATAATTACTCGAAGACTTGGGATGAATGGAAAACCTTTGTGGTCAATCATTTCCGGAACATCAGGATTTCGCAGAAACGCTAAGCGACTAGTTAACCGAAAAAACTGCCGGATGAATCAATGGCAAGGTACTACTATGATAAAAAGGTGCTGATTGATGCATGCAAAATACGGGACGTGATGCTGTTTCTTGCATCATTGATGGACTACCGAATGGGGGTATTCAAATTGGAGCAAGAGCGGGAAATTTTCTTACATGCGAAGATCTTTTCGGTCATTATCTATCAACGTTCAATGATGTGAGTGAACATCAAACAAAAATCAGAAAATTGAAGGACGATCTATAACATTTTTGAGAGAAACAGGTTATCAAGAGAAGGATATTGCATGTTTTAATTGCAATAAGAAGGGTCATTATGCTAACCAATGCAAAGAACCGGCAAAGAGGTGTAACCAATGTAAGCGATGGGGACATCAGACCCATGAATGTTCAAAAGTAGCAGGTAAGTCACCTGAAATAATTACAGTGACGAATGACAAACTTAGCATTAATAACTCGTGTTATTTTATGAAATGTAGAGTTAGTGGTGTTATTTTTTATGCATTTATTGATACTGGAAGTTCAGTTATACTAATGAAACAGACAAATGCCCATAAGGTTAGAGAAAACTTTGACCCATGTTGTCCTTCATGTGAAAGGTTATGGTGGGTCAGTTATACCTGTCATTGGAAAATTCTCTTCAGAATTAGAAGTCGATTCGGCTTCAGCGTCAGTTGATATCCATATTGTTCCTGATCACGCTCAGGACGTTGATATATTGATAGGGAGGCCTTTTATAAATCATCCGAAGATTTTGATGACTGTTTCCAATAATATTGTGCAGATAATGTTCAGGACACAAAATTTCTTTCCTGAATATGATTGTAATAAAAAGAAAAAGAATATCTGATTCGTAAACAAAATGGTCACAATCCCAAAAAATCATGCCAAGTTTGTTGATGTGGAAACTGAGTCCAATGAGAATGGAAGTTTTTTATATTGATGATATGTATGTTAACAAAACGAATGAAGAGTATCGCGTTATGAGAAGTATTCTAGGGAAAAGGGATTTATATGTGTCAGTAACGAGTCTAATAAAAATTACTTTTAGAGAAGGCATGCGAATAGCTAGAGTTTACGCTTGTGAACCGGAAAGCAATAGCTTTTGTGAGAACAGTTACTTAATACCAGGGAATTAGAAATTTTTAGCATTTCTGACGTTAAAGCTCAAATTAGTTGTTTGAATAAAGAAACAAACTGAAAGGTTGGTTGGACTTTTGAACAAATATAGAGCGGTTTGCTACTGATTTGTCTGAATTAGGGACCATAAAAGAGGCGCAGATGAAAATAATATTAAAGGATGAGGTTCCAGTGTCCTATAAACCATATAGAATGTCTTGGTCAGAGAGAGAAATTGTTCGAGATTTGGTAGAAAGAATTGAGAAAAGCTGGCTTAATTCAGGACTCATCATCCTCGTACTCAAGCCCCATTCTTTTAGTTAAAAAGAAAAATGGGGGTACAGAATGTGCATAGAGTTCAGAGCTCTGAACAGAAAAACCGAGAAAGAAGTTTTTCCAATGCTAAGATGGATAATGAAATTGATAGATTAAAGGCAGCAAATATTTCACTAGTCTAGATTGTGCAAGTGGATACTACCAGATCTCGATGGATAATGACTCGTCTCATAAGACTGCATTTATAACACCCGATGGCCATTATGAATTCTTGAGAATGCCATTTGGTTTAGTATATGCTCCTGCTGTATTTCAAAGGAATATGAATAAAGTTCTTGGAGATTTAAGGTTTAATACGGCAATGGTTTATATGGACGATATATTAATCCCATCCGATTCGATTGAAAGTGGACTCGATAAACTTGAAATTGTGTTAAAAAGACTGACAGATAATGGAGTTACACTTAATTTAAAAAAGTGCTTTTTCCTTCATGATTCTATTCAATATTTAGGTTTTGAAATAAATTCAGAGGGAGTGAAACCAGGAAAAGAAAAAACAAGTAAAAAACATTAAGTTCGGCCGGGCCAAACTTTTAATACCCTCCACCTTAGGGTAAAAGAAACATTAGAGAAATGTGGCAAAAACCATAACAATGCCGAATATCGGGAGGTACCGTTATATGGGGGCTATATCAAATCATGGACCCATACATGCAATGTTTCGCCACCTAAGCTGGAACCCATTACGACCAACAAATACCAATTTCAGACAAATCCGTGAAAAATGTGGCAAAAATCATCAAATTACCGAATATCGCGAGGTACCGTTATATGGGGGCTATACCAAAATAATTACAATGTTTCGCCACACGAACTAGGACCCATTATGACCCACAAATACCAATTTCCATACAAATCCGTGAAAAAATGTGCATAAAATCATCAAATACCGAATATCGGGAGGTACCTTTATATGGGGGCTATACCACAACGTGGACCTATACATGCAATGTTTTGCCACACGCTCAGGGACCCGTTATGACCTACAATACCATTTCCAGACAAATCCGTGAAAAAATGTGGCATAAATCATCAAAATACCGAATATCGGGAGGTACCGTTATATGGGGACTATACCAGAACGTGGACCGATATATCTCATTTTCAATACCAACCATCCTAGACACAATGCAAATAGCTCTGCTAAATTTTGGAGAAACAGGTTATCAGAGAAGGATATTGCATGTTTTAATTGCAATAAGAAGGGTCATTATGCTAACCAATGCAAAGAACCGGCAAAGAGGTGTAACAAATGTAGCGATGGGGACATCAGACCCATGAATGTTCAAAGTAGCAGGTAAGTCACCTGAAATAATTACAGTGACGAATGACAAACTTAGCATTAATAACTCGTGTTATTTTATGAAATGTAGAGTTAGTGGTGTTATTTTTTATGCATTTATTGATACTGGAAGTTCAGTTATACTAATGAAACAGACAAATGCCCATAAGGTTAGAGAAAACTTTGACCCATGTTGTCTTCATGTGAAAGGTTATGGTGGGTCAGTTATACCTGTCATTGGAAAATTCTCTTCAGAATTAGAAGTCGATTCGGCTTCAGCGTCAGTTGATATCCATATTGTTCCTGATCACGCTCAGGACGTTGATATATTGATAGGGAGGCCTTTTATAAATCATCCGAAGATTTTGATGACTGTTTCCAATAATATTGTGCAGATAATGTTCAGGACACAAAATTTCTTTCCTGAATATGATTGTAATAAAAAAGAAAGAATATCTTGATTCGTAAACAAAATGGTCACAATCCCAAAAAATCATGCCAAGTTTGTTGATGTGGAAACTGAGTCCAATGAGAATGGAAGTTGTTATATTGATGATATGTATGTTAACAAAACGAATGAAGAGTATCGCGTTATGAGAAGTAGTCTAGGGAAAAAGGGATTTATATGTGTCAGTAACGAGTCTAATAATAAAATTACTTTTAGAGAAGGCATGCGAATAGCTAGAGTTTACGCTTGTGAACCGGAAAGCAATAGCTTTTGTGAGAACATGTTACTTAATACCAGGGAATTAGAAATTTTTAGCATTTCTGACGTTAAAGCTCAAATTAGTTGTTTGAATAAAGAACAAACTGAAAGGTTGGTTGGACTTTTGAACAAATATAGGAGCGGTTTTGCTACTGATTTGTCTGAATTAGGGACCATAAAAGAGGCGCAGATGAAATAATATTAAAGGATGAGGTTCCAGTGTCCTATAAACCATATAGAATGTCTTGGTCAGAGAGAGAAATTGTTCGAGATTTGGTAGAAGAATTGAGAAAAGCTGGCTTAATTCAGGACTCATCATCCTCGTACTCAAGCCCCATTCTTTTAGTTAAAAAGAAAAATGGGGGGTACAGAATGTGCATAGAGTTCAGAGCTCTGAACAGAAAAACCGAGAAAGAAGTTTTTCCAATGCTAAGAATGGATAATGAAATTGATAGATTAAAAGGCAGCAAATATTTCACTAGTCTAGATTGTGCAAGTGGATACTACCAGATCTCGATGGATAATGACTCGTCTCATAAGACTGCATTTATAACACCCGATGGCCATTATGAATTCTTGAGAATGCCATTTGGTTTAGTATATGCTCCTGCTGTATTTCAAAGGAATATGAATAAAGTTCTTGGAGATTTAAGGTTTAATACGGCAATGGTTTATATGGACGATATATTAATCCCATCCGATTCGATTGAAAGTGGACTCGATAAACTTGAAATTGTGTTAAAAAGACTGACAGATAATGGAGTTACACTTAATTTAAAAAAGTGCTTTTTCCTTCATGATTCTATTCAATATTTAGGTTTTGAAATAAATTCAGAGGGAGTGAAACCAGGAAAAGAAAAAACAAGTAAAAAACATTAAGTTCGGCCGGCCAAACTTTTAATACCCTCCACCTTAGGGTAAAAGAAACATTAGAAGAAATGTGGCAAAAACCATAACAATGCCGAATATCGGGAGGTACCGTTATATGGGGGCTATATCAAATCATGGACCCATACATGCAATGTTTCGCCACCTAAGCTGGAACCCATTACGACCAACAAATACCAATTTTCAGACAAATCCGTGAAAAAATGTGGCAAAAATCATCAATTACCGAATATCGCGAGGTACCGTTATATGGGGGCTATACCAAATAATTACAATGTTTCGCCACACGAACTAGGACCCATTATGACCCACAAATACCAATTTCCATACAAATCCGTGAAAAAATGTGGCATAAATCATCAAAATACCGAATATCGGGAGGTACCTTTATATGGGGGCTATACCACAACGTGGACCTATACATGCAATGTTTTGCCACACGCTCAGGGACACGTTCAGGAACACGTTCATTCAACATCAAAAGAGGAACAACGGTACCATTCTTATGAATTGGAAACATTGGCTGTTGTCTATGCATTAAAACGCTTCAGGGTGTATTTACTAGGAATAGAATTTAAAGTTGTAACGGACTGTGCAGCTTTGAGAACAGCTTTTACCAAAAGGGATTTAGCTTCTAGAATAGGCAGATGGTGGTTAACTTTACAAGAATATAATTTTGAGGTAGAGTACAGTTGAGGTAGTTAACAGTTGATAATTTTCGTGTAGATATTTCGGAAATGGATTGGGTATTATCAATGCAGCTCAGTGATAGTGGATGCGAATATTTAATAGACGTTCTTAAAAATATCCCACACAATAATGAAGAGAAACGAATACATAACGAATACGCATTGAAACAGGGGAGGTTGTACAAGAGAACTGAAAAAGGATTGAGATGGGTTGTTCCAAAGACGTGCAGAAGGGAAATCGTATATAATCATCATGATAAGATAGGACACTCTTGATAAAACTATCTCTGCTATATGTAATAAATATTGATTTTCTAACATGAGACGTTATGTTAACCGATACATTGCATGTTGTTTGCCATGTTCTTACAACAAATTACCTTCTGGTAAGCAAGTTGGGGGGCTACATCCAATAGAAAAGGTGAAAGTTCCATTTGATACAATTCATATTGATCATATGGGGCCATTCACTCCAAGCAGAAAGAGGAATATGTACCTTATTGTAATGGTGGATGGATTTTCAAAATATGTACAGTTGAAAGCGGTGCCAACAACTAAAGTGGAGCACGTCATAAAATTTTAGAAGACTTTATTAAGATTTTTGGCGTTCCGAGACGAATTGTTTGTGCTAGAGTTTATGAGCTTTACTAATGATTGCGGAATAAAAGTTATTCATAATGCAACTGCAACGCCTCGTGCAAATGGTCAGGCGGAAAGGTATAATAGAACAATTCTATCTGCAATATGTGCGTCCACCGAAAATGAAACTCAATGGGATGAATGAATAAGTAATTTGCAGTGGGGAATTAATTCAACTATCAACAAATCGACTGGGAAAATTCCCAATGAGCTTTTATTTGGTTTCTTACCAACAGGAAAATATGGCGCTTACTTGAGTAATGAAGTTTTAGAAAATACACCAACAAATCTTGTCTTTAGTAGAGATAAAGCAAAAAATCCATAGACAAAATGCAGGAATATCAGAAACGAAAGTTCGATCAGAAAGAAAAAAAAGGATCTGCTTATAAGAAGGGCCAGTTAGTATTAGTTAAAAAGTCCAGAGCAACAGAAGGATGTCGAAAACTTCTTCCGAAATTTTGTGGACCGTTTCAAATAGTTAAATATTTGGGAAATGACAGATATGTTATAAGAGATATGCCAGGATCTAAACGATCTCGAAAGCCATACGAGGGTATTGTTTCGGCGGATAAAATTAAGATATACGAATTATTTAATGCAGAAGCCGAGGATTAATATTATTCATCTAATATTAAAATCCCATAATAATATAACATTTATTTACAGATGCATCACGAGGACGTGTGCAGAGGAGCGTGGCCGAGTTAAAGGCACTTACATAAATTCATTTTCATTTCATTATTTTGGGAAAAGCATTCCATGAAATATAATTTATGAATACCGAAAAATATGAAAAATAATAAAATTATTGTCTTATCAATTTTCAAATATACTTACGTTTTTTTTTTTTTTTTTTTTTTAAAGGGGATATTTTCAAAAGGAATATTTTCAAAGGTATTGAACCTTACACAACTAAGTGGATAGTATTCGGTCAGTAGATCAAAATCCCAAACGGGCTTTGGCTTACAGGCCAAACTTTTTTAGAGCTTCAAATACTTCACAAAATTTACAAATGATTGGAATTTTTAGAAAGAATAAAACATCCTTTCAAAAATTATAAGTAGAGGTCCAAGTTTTAGTATAACCCTAATATGAAGGTATTTTCGGGGTCTTGGCCAAAATGTTTTAAAATTGAGTTGGCCCCTATTTGGGCCTCCTGTTCGCAGAAAATTCTCAACGTAGGAGTAGGGCCCATATATTGGTATCTCCTGATTTTACCTATTTCGAGGGTTTTGACCACAGTTCTAATCGATTTGGCTAAACATGTGCATTTAGGTTACTTTGGGGGTACAGAACCATATACAGAAAAATTTCAAAATAGGTACACATTTTGGTATGGTCTCTATGGGTCCACCGTTTGGCGGACAGCTAAAATATAAGATGAATTGACCAGTATGTGCACATGTATTGCGATGGCTTCTTATTTCTATTTGGTGGAGTCATTATTCATAATAACAATTGGGCCAAAAATATGCATTAGAGACTAAAACTAGGGGCAGGCAACGCGGACCGGACCAGCTAGTGTTTTATATTGGATGATTTTTTTTTATTCATTTTGACTTATTATTTTCGAAATTGTAGTGGAATTTTTTTTATTTCTAACATGATGTGCAGTATATAAAGCGTTATTTACAGATTTTATGTATTTATTGGGTAAGTGGAACTATACGAAAAATATAATATCAGAAGAGGATAAGAATCACTATTCCATTGTATACGAAAGGTTTTTTCAATTTGATTAACTTTATGGAATTTTTGAGAATGGAAAAACTTTTTTACATTGAAGTGTAGTATGGTATGTATGGAATTTAACGTGGTCACACCAAAGTTAAAAGATAAGAGAGACAATCTCATTGAAAAATTCTAAAATCGAATTTCTATGAAATCGAATTTGAAATTGATAAATGATATCGCATTCTATTGGCAAGCTTCGCAAGGACCTTCTAATATTTGCTCTAAAATCCGGGAACAAGTTGAAGAATTATTTTTCTTTCTTTTATTATTTGTTTTTCTTTTTTTGTCAATTTTATATAATGGATGATTTTTTTGTCAATTTGACTTATCATATTGAATTTATTCGTTTTTTTTTAACAAAATAAAGAACTTTTTTCCCATTAGTAATAAGAAATAATTTTTTATGTGATTGGGCTATCTGTTTATCAATGCGGCGGACAAGAAGATTCGATGTTTCACGTCGAACAAGAAATGCAAGTTCGGAACATAACATATCAATTGAATGTGAATGCGCAGGTAGCTGCACGAGAACAGCGCCGGGTAAGTTTGGCTAGACTTCGTTCAAGCCAAACAGAAGAAGAAAGGACTTCAAATAATGAACTGCCATGTTTACATTGAGAATTCGCCGATTTTATCAGTCGCCTAAGATTCAACGTGCAGAAGAAAGGCTTCTAGCAGTGTGTATTTAACGTATTCAACCCAACAGTTAAGGAATTATGAGGTATTACTATCAGTATTCTTGAATCGAATTTATTTTGCCCTCGAATCTACATATCGAAGGGCAAATTCACAATTGCATTGGCTATTTGCTACCGTTAGAAGACGCTCAAAATAAATTCCTGCAAATCTACTTCGTGGGAAATATTGAAAAAGGACTTGATCGGCGACAAAGAGTGAATAATACAATGAGAAGAGTATTTCTCGGTGATCTGCAAGAGCAAATTGATGAACATAATGCATTGGTTCGTTTATTCAAAACTGCGTTTCAGCTTATGTCAAGTGATGAATATAAAATTTTAATCAGGGCGGATAGGCGACCTGCTGAAACTCATGAACGGCAATTTAATGCTCCAACGATAGATGAGGTGGCAGTTGTTATTGTAGGTTAAAATCGTGAATCACGCGATGTTGCGCACACACACAGGTATACTGGACGATTGCAACGAATATCAGAAACACACCGTTCATACGGCGCATTACAATACCAACTGATATTTTGAATAAATCCATTGACAGGTAGGTATCGACGCATTTATTCAAGTTTAAGAGAAAATAATCAATATCTTCACAGGTGAGAAAACCAATAAAAAAGTCAACGCAAAGAACTCTTATACGTATCGGTTGATGATTCGACAAAATGAGGAAAATTATATACTACGCTTTCGACGTCTATTTCAGCAATTTTGTGTGGATACGCATGCAAAAATCGAGTCGGAGCGTCTTCTTTTTATCTGATTAAACCAATCGAAGCTACGTACCGAGGAGTACATTCCTTCAAGGGATGCAATTTCTAACGAAACAAACCTCTTTCGTTGGCAGCCCACGTCACATGAATACGCGCTAGATGCGATGACATATGTACGTTACTACGGCCACCCTGATGATGGTAAAACCGTAACAGTGAAATTAAAAGGAAAAGAATTTGTTGTCAACAACTCATGGGTAGTTCCATATTCACCACCTCTTTCGAAAGCATTTAAGGCTCATTTTGAGTACGGCAATTCAGTAAAATCCATTAAGTATATATGCAAATATATCACATAGTGAAATTACGCGGCATCAAGTTGGTCGATATATACATTGCAATGAAGCGATTTGACGTATATTCTCAACCCCTATTCCGACCGTTACACATTTCGTAGTGTATCTTGAAGACGGCCAACGTGTTTATTTCACTGCAGAAAATGGTATTCAACGTGCACAAGCCTCAGCGACAACGTTAACCAGTTTTTTTTTTTCTCAATTTTCTTAAAATGATTATTTCGCAGGAACATTACTTTACACAGAAATGCCACATTACACATGGAATGCTTCATCGAAGCAATTTCAACGACGACAGCAAGATGAAGTCCTAGGTTATTTTTTTTCTTTATGCTCCCGGTGGCACTAATAAGACATTTTTTTATATGCTTGATTTTGGCTACAATGCAGACAATCACGTGCTGTAGCTGTTGCTTCGTCGGGAACAGCGGCTACGTTGCTGGATGGTTGCCGGGTTGCCCATTCGGCGTTGAAGCTAACATTAAACCTTCAAACAGTAGAAGAGCCAACATGCAACATATCACTGCACTCAGTAATGGCGAAACATTTAAATGCAAGCTAAATTATTATCTGGGACGAATGCATAACGTCGTATAAAATAGCTTTAAAAACAATAAATCGGATAACGAAAGGTATGCGTAATAACACGAGCCATTTTCGTATATCTGATTCTACTGTCCGCTATTTTCGCCAAACGCTGCCTGTAATACCACGATCCACAGCTACCGGCGTAATCAATGCTTGCCTGAAATCGTCGACGATTTTCGCCAAACACAAGGTTTTACTGAACGTTGCATATAATCACAATAATTATAATTGTTTAAGTGAGAGGGGAATTTTAGATGCGAAAAACATGGACAATTTGAATTACATAATGGAAAACAAAATCATTGGTTTACTGCAGTCCTTCAAATCTTTAGATAGTGTTGTAAACGAGTTGCATCGTCAACTAACAACTCTGTATAATTTTTAACTCATAGGATGTACTAGGTTTGCCACCTCATAATCTGAAATTGTAGGTTGGGTCAGGAATTACTATGCTTCGCAACATAAATCAACCAAAATTATGCAACGGAACGCGTTTGGTTATTACAAAATTTATGAGCAATGTTATACATGCTATTCTATTAAGAAGACAATTCGAACGGGAGGAAGTTCTAATTCCAAGAATTCCTATGATTCCAACAGGCATGCCATTTGAGTTTAATAGATTGCAATTTCCAATTCATCTCGCATTTGCCATGACTATAAACGACTCCCAAGGCCAATTATTGAGCATGTGAAGCGTACGAAAATAAGCTATATCAAACGTTTGCAATCGTTTCTTTCAGTATTTTATCGAAGTACGAAACGAAACAAACCCGATATTAAGATAACGGACTTGTTTTTTATTTTGAGTGGAAACAAAAACAAAACTGAGATGTACTCGGCTAAATGACGCAACATTGGAAACGAAACAGTACAAAACTCATTGAAAACATTTGCAAACGCTTTCCTGTATATCAACTTATTACAAATACAGTAAGAACTAATTTGAAATAAAATGCATGCCTTTTTATTCATCTATTACTCCCAGCATACATTGGAAAAGTGCAAAACATACATAGAATGGTAACTCTAAATATAGCAGTAATCATTTGGCACAGCAAACGTTTCCCGGCGATCCGTCCGCAAACAATACAGCTCGGCAACTCACAGTCGAAGTACATTGAAGCAATCGCATTGTTTATGTATTTCTGGCATTGAAATGTTTGTGGTTTTGACAATATATCTATATCTATATATATATATATATATATATATATATATATATATATATATATATATATATATATATATATATATATATATATATATATATATACACTGGTGGCCAAAACTAAAGCAACTGAAATTACAAGGAGAATGAATGCCCTGTAAATTTTTCAAAAATTAAGAAAATGAGAAAGTTTCTCTTTTTTTTAAATTAGGTACTTTATTCACTTTTTAAAAACCTAAAACATAAAACCAAAATTCATTTTTATATAAAAAATAATGTTTGGTAAAGTCAATTAACCCGATTTTGGCTTGGACAAAACAAAAACAACTCTATTGTACATTCATATAACCGCTGCAATTTCAGTTGTTTTTACTGTTATATTTGTCGCTTTTTGCTTCCTTCGACAATTTCGCTTGTCATAAATCCTTTTCGAGAAGTTTTTTACAACAGCATGTGTTTTCTTTTCGTTTTTTAAGTACTGCCCAAAAAAGTTTAAAAATAACTAGAAGCAAATACAGTACATGAATAAAACAGCAAATTATCAGTGACTATGAAAACAACATATCACAGAAAATGAT